TGTTCATCTGCCTGGGCTGAGGGAGGGTAAGGTGTTGGGGAAAGCCACACCAGGAGTGCCCAGCAGCCAGCAGGCACTCCATGTCTTCCCCCAACACATCCTCACTCCCTCAGCCCCCAGCCAGCTTCCCCCCCAGCAGCGGTGGTGTGATGGCGGCCACTGCATGTGAGCTTCCCCCTCCCCGGCCGGGCGGCACGTGTGGGGCCCACAGAGAGGCATTGCTGCCCTCACCCCTCCCTCCTGGGAGCACGTACAGAGAGGCACTCCTCCCCCAGTCTCAATCTGCTCCCCCAACCCCTTCCTTTCCCCCCGTCCCCCCACACACCTACCTGCTGAGGTGTGTGTGTATGTCTGTGCGTCTGTGTTTGTCTGTGTTTCTGTACCTATGCTTGCGTGAGTGGGGCTGGGGGGCTGTTGTAGGGGGAGTAAGGGGCACGAGCAGAACTGGGGAGGCTGTGGGGGGGAGTGAGGGGCAGTAGCAGGGATGGGGGGGACCCATGTGGGGCCTTTAATTTTTATCAAAGAATTGGGATTTTTTATCAGAGAATTTGTGATTATTTATCAGGGAAAACCAGGATCCCTGCTCATCAGGGAAGGTTTGAAGAACATACACACACATAAGTAGTTACAGGTGTGTTTTGGGATTTTTGAACTGAACAAAAGATTAGCCTGAAGGCCCTATTGAAAGGTTATTACATTCTTGGCTAAAGATGCCAATTTCAAGGAAAATATATGCAAAAGGGGAAATAACTCTTGGTCCATATATGTTTGGAAACTAGGTGATTAATGTGAGTCAGGCAGAAAACGGCTTTACTTGATGAGACTACATAACCCAAAGGTTCATTTGAAATTCAACTTAAAAACTGGACAATAAAAAAATTATGACACTTAACATATGAAAGTCCATGTCACATGGCCTGGGGAAGGCATCTGAAAATGGACAAATAGGACAATATTTTCAAAGCTGGATATTTAAAATTAGATTCTAAAATCCATTTTATGCAATTGAGTAAAAGTGGGTTGATTTTTGGAGATCATGAACACCTAAAATTACCAGGGCCTTCAGAATCTATAGGCTAATACACTTAAACCAGAAACCCCACTTTAAACATTTTGGCTATTACTGACTAAATGTTTATGCATTTTGAGAAATAATAGTTTCTAGTATCTTAAAGATTATAGTATCCTTTAAAAACATCCCAAAGATGTTCAATTTAAAAAATCAGTCTTGTCACTTAGTTTCCAGACTCATCCAAATATAGTCTGTTCATTTATCTACCTGAATGATCATTCTATTTCTATTATGTTAACTAAACCTAATTTATTTAAGTTAAGTTGATTGATAGACTCTATCCTCAAGTCTCAACAATTGGATATCACAATTCATCTTACCAGGAAACAGGGAATGAATGCAGATAGTATTTACAATCGGAACTTTCATGTCATAAACACATACACAAAATATTAAAAAAAAATGTTACTACTTGCCATCTAAAATTGTATCAAAAACGTTTTATTTTGTCACAAGTTCAAACACATGACTTGGTTCATGGTATGAAAGAAGAGTGAAGGAAATACAATTACCACATTATTTATCCTAAATATCTGACTTAACAAGCAGGCTGCTAAATGCCTTTTCATATAGAATTCTGAGCTTAATGAGTAATTTAAATGAGTAATTTTTTGTATGACCCATTAAATTATTTGTATGATAAATATGGGTACAGCAGTCCCATATTGATATTAATAGAAAGTGGGAGTAGACTGCTTTTGAAATGTGTTGGAGAATGGGAAATTCATGTGACTAAAGTTGTTATAAAAAATGGAGTGCATTTACATGTTTTATTATATATATAATATATTCTATGTATATATGTGTACATATATAAATATACATACACATTCTATTATAGTGATTATAAACATGTACATTTTTATATATTTATTTGTGTATGTTTTATATTTATCATACATTTTTAATATTGAAAAGAGTTCCATAATAATACACATCCCCTGCTTTAAAAAAAAAATCCCTTGATGATTTAGGACAGGAAGTAAAAAATACTGTAACTTACTGAAATTATAGAGAAGACTGAGTTTACAACAGCTGTAATTTGGGATTGGTGCTGTGGCTTGCACCCTAACCATTGTAAAAACTGCCTCAGGAGGTGGATGATTGGACAATAAGTTGTACTCTACCATTAACAACTTCTACAATTCTGCTCAGTAATATAACATTTTTACTATTAAAACAGCTGCATCATGAAGTGGCTCTGTGTGTCTACTTTTGTTGACAAGATCTCCAGAACACATCCATCAGACTAATGATCAAGGAGTGTACTTAACCTTAACAACTTTATTTTTCAAAAAGCCAAGAATGTTGATTGAAGGGTAGAGGAACTGTTTTTATGTGGGGAAAGGTTTTCACCTGGTCGGTGGTTATCTATGGGGCTGATGAAGAGATCTCTTGACAAGAGGGCTGGGAAAATTATAAAAGGGCAGGAGCTGCCTTCTCTAGGGCCCAGTTTACCAACTCAAAATGCAGGGAGCTATTGTATGCACCTGATAAGGCATATGGGAACCCTGACTTTCTAAACACAGGAAATAGACTCCCAAGGAAAAGATGACCTACAGGGAAAGGCACTGCATCAGAGTGTTTTCTGTCACTAGATGACTTTATTTTCTTCTGCTTTATCTTTCAAGTAATGGGTAATGATGTTTCAGAAAGCCTATGCCAAGCCGGTGTATGTGTTTGTGTGCATGCACATAAGCACATAAATACTATACCTATCACATGTTCCTAAAATGTTAAATGGTAGTAATGGTAGTGGTAGTGTAACCTCCTTATACTGTAGGAGGAAACTTTTCAAAATGCACCCATCTTGGGCAAGTCAGTGAGACCCTGTTGAGCATGCTTGGTGGTGGCTGGCAGCCACGTTGGGTGTGCCACTGAGGTTGAAGGGAATAAACACAATCCTAGCAACCAGGTTGGCATTTATGTAGAAGATGGGGCACAGAGGGACATGTTCCATGAGAACTTTTTGTGAAGAGGAGCAGGGTCTGGCCAACTGAAGCAGACCATCCTTGTTAAAAGGGGGAAAAAACCCCACTAACTGCTCAGAACTAGGTGAACTATGGCTTCTGGTGGCAGAGCAGCAACAAATATGTCCAATGTGCCAGGAACCGAGAGACCAAGGGGAAAATTTAATAACCTTTCTCTCAACCAGAGAAACATGTATCCTACTCTGAGTGCCTGCTGGGAAAAAGAGATATAATACATGTATGTTGGATCCATCCAGAGGAGGTGGATTCAATCTGTGCTAATTGAGAGCAGATCTCAATAGGTTAAATAACTCCAGTAAGAGGGTGGTTGGTCTTGCCTAAGCTGGAGTTTCAAGCACAAATGTCAAAAACTGAGCATTAAGAGGGAAGTGTCCAAAAGCAGTGGAGTTTTTTGTTTGCTTGCTTGCTTGCTTTCTTTCTTTCTTTCCGAGACGGTCCTCGACCCAGATAGAGAGGGGGGGCCTGCGAGGGAGCCTGGCCATTGAGGGCACTTTCACTGGTCTCACCGGGAAGTCCCCTCCCAGGGTAAAGCCCCGCCGGTTCTCGGTCGGCAGTATCCACCTCCTACTGGAGAAACCCCCCTGGGTGGCCCCCAGCTATGGAGGTCTCCTCAACCTCTTGGACCAGACCAAGGGCCAGAGGAACGTGGCCGAGAGTATCCGGCAATGGTGCCTGGACCCC